ACTCATTAGGCATTAAGAATTTGCAAATTTGCGACCTTCTGGAATAACTTCTTAATCGAAAACACTCCTATAAGTGTAACGCGGTTTCCTGGAGCAACCTTGTCGGTGAGATATCTGGAGTCAAAATAATCATTCAGATATCAATGTAGAACATTATTTTAAGTAATCATAAGCATAAGTCGCAATCTACCTGTCACAGTAAAGCTGCAGATGTCGCGGCATTTCCCCATGTGGCACGTCTTCAGGGTTCTCTTGCAGCTTCAAGGTTTGATAATCAACACAATGACACTTATCAGGCACTATGTGATAAGGGTCAACAGGGCATCGTTGAAGTTGTCCAGACTGAGGTCTGTAGAAATCCTTTTGAGTCGGAAAGTTTGTTAAGTATTATCAGTTACAAGCGCTTACGCTCCACATGTCCTTGGAAGTTGAAAACCTTCCAAACCAGGCTTTAGTGCTTGATCACTGATAGTATGACGACAAGTTCGGCACTGCAGGGTTATTTTGGTGGCTTTAGCACGAACCTCAAGACAAAGCGATAATGAATAAACATAGATAAAGCAAGAACTAGTGATACCTGAGATGCAGCAACAATAATACCACAAATCTTGACAATTTGTGAGACTTGAGCACTCTTGACTCTACGAATTGAAGTGGGATACTCGTCCAGTGTCAAAGAGATCTAAATACAAAAGAAGATAAAATTTCTAAGAAAATTAAAAGAAGGAAGAATTTCGTGGGAAATCTAGCACCCCATACCTGGATATCCTTCATCTCCTCTTCCCCTTCAGGTCGAGGAGCTGTGAGTTCATCAGCTACCGTTCGAGCAGCTTCTTCAAACTTGAACAGAAACTTTGTTAGAGTGAAACATTATGAAAAAAAATCTTAATTTTAAAAGAGAGATATAGAGAACCAACCGCAGGAAGGAATTTTCCTGGGTGCGTGCGGAGCTTTGCTTCGGCATCTTCATCAAATTGTTTTAGATGAGTCATATTGACTTCAAGGAAGTAGT